AAGGACACCGACAGGTCTCTGATTGTTGATGTGGGCACTAAGGACACCGAGAGGTCTCTGATTGTTGATGTGGGCACCAAGGGCTTTACAGTCTCGCTCTTGGTCATGGGCTCAGCAGTGAGGAGAAGAACCTTGCAGTGTCCTGTGCCTTTAGGTTAAAGCTGACTGACCTAGTTTGTGTTGACAGTAGAAGTTTTAAAATTCTCTTTTCACATGTTTTTTCTTGATATGCCTCTTGCCACCACAGATAGTCCAGGAATTGCCCCATAGAACTGTGAACTTACTTCCTGATGCAGGTGGCTCCCTCAGCTCTGAAATCCCCGTGTCCCCCAAGTTAGACCCCCTCAGCAATGCCGCCAGCTGGGCTCCTGCCAAAGGACTCCTGGTGGTCCCTGGCCTGTCACACTCCTGGGAAGCACTTTGGGTCCCTGATGCCCTCTCGTGCAGGCATGATGGTGTCTCGGGCTCTCCTCCTGAGACCACGTCTGTGGCCCCCCACGTGCCCTGTGTGCATCCTGTGTCTCCACCTCGTGTGTTGCCCGTGGCAGTGTTTGCTTTCCTGGTAGGCTCTTTAAGTCTTGTTTAAAGACTTGGTGTTTGAGAGCCAACAGGCTGCTTTGCCTTTTTACAGAATTTGAGACTTTGTGGCAGAGCCTATATAATTGTGGAGGGGCATTGGGACAGGCTGTCATCTGTACATGTGGTCGCCACAGCCCCCTGATGGCCAAGAGGCTCTGTGTAAATCAAACAGGCTGTAGAAACAATGTGTGCCCACAACACAGAAGCCCATCTCCCAACCGTACCTGCACCTGGACTGCGTCCCGGACGACGCCTGGGCCCTGGTTGTGGAGTCCCTGTCCAGGCAACAAGAAGAGGCACAGGGACCTCCCAGTCTGCGTACAGAGGGCTTCATCAGCACGTGGCCGTCCCTTTAAATCTCCAGTGCCCCTGAGAGAGTACTGGGGCTGCCCTTCCTGGCCCTCCTTCCAACACTAATAATGACGAAACAAATCTTGGATAGCTTTTGAAAAGTAGCATTTGGGCTATTTCTTTCTCTTTTCAAAAAAAGTGAAAAATCCTTTCTGTAAGTAGGCAAGCCGGAAAGGCCCAGCCTGGCAGCTTTCTGCATGAGTGGCCAGGACCGTTGCTGGAGTGAAAGGAAAGGGGACAGGCAGCCTGTGAATGGGGCGGCTCTAGGCGCAGGTGGGGGCTGAGACCAGGATCCATCACATGTTTGTCCTTTGGGAGCTGCCTGAAGTGGGGAGATAAAGCGGTTTTTTAACAATTTCCAGCAGATGCCTTTGGGAGACAGACAGACCAGGAATTCCCTATGCCCTGGGCGCTACAATGCAGAGGCCTGCAGGTCTCCCATTCAGGGCTGTTAAGCCCCTTAAGCACATTAGCATCTGGATGGGCTTGGACCTCCTGAGGAAGGGTGGGCTGCTGGAGGTTGGGTGCTTGTTCTAATCCTCAGGCTGTGAGGGCCTTAGGCTGATTTGTGACACATCAGACCAAAAGCCACTTTTGGGGCCTTGACCCCCACCGTGACCCACACTGAGTGTCAATGGACTGCCCTGGGGTGTGGCCTCCCCCAGCCCTGCTCTGGACCCTGCTGGCCCTGTCCCCTAGTGGGGCTGCTCCAGCTCCCCCCAGGGCCCCTGGGGGACTGAGAACTCTGGCCTCCTGTGGGGGAGGGGAGCTGCCCTTCCTCTGTGAGCACTTCCCTGTGTTCACAGCACGTGCCAAGCTTACAGAGCACCTGCCCAGGCCTCTGGCTCCTGCCATCTGCCCAGGAGTGGTCCCCAGCTCTGCCTGACCCCCTACTATACTAGGTTAAGACTGAGGTGAAGTTAATTACTAACAGTCAGCCATGGTGTAATCCAGCTAGCCAGCAGCCTTCTCTCCTCTGCTGTCCGGGTGGCTGGCCCTCCTCATGGCTGGCATGTGCAGGCTCTAGGGGCCACCACCCTGCCCCTGCTGTGTCCCTATCCCCAGCTCAGCTCTTCCCACGCTGCAGCGCCCTGGCACTGCCAGCCTAGTGCCGGCAGGACTGAGTAGGGGGTCACTAGCAGAGAACAGGGTACATCTCCACCCTGCCCTCCATCTGCGTGGCTCCTCCGGAGGGGAGGCTTCTAGGAAGCTGAGAGCAGCTTGGCCTGGCCCCCACATATCTCTGTGGCAGGGCCTTCTCGGCACAGCTCTGGGTGTGGTGGTGCTAATGTGCTACACGGTCTGTGGGGCTTGTGGCATCTGTAGCTGCACTCAACCAGCCTGGAATGTGGAGCAGGGCCACCTGAGAGGGACCAGTGCGGAGCAGGGCCGCCTGAGAGGGACGGGTGCAGAGCAGGGCTGCCTGAGAGGGACGGGTGCGGAGCAGGGCCGCCTGAGAGGGACAGGTGCAGAGCAGGGCCTCATTACAAGGAGGGTACCAGGGCAGCTCCCTGGTCTGGGTGTGGACATGTGTCTGGGAAGTGATGCCAGCTGCTATCTGGAAACAGACATCCTGCTCCCCGGGCCTAAGCCCTCCTGCATTTTCCTGCAGACGCTCTGCACAAAGGCCACGATGCAAACAGTCCGGGCTGCCGACACCAACGAAGTTGTGAAGCTGATATTCCGAGAGTCAGACAACGACCGGAAGGTAAGCGGGGCTTGTGGCTGCTGGAAACAACTCAAGGCCCCCAGGGTCCTGCAGAGCCCCCAGCACCTGTCCTGCCCTGGGGGAGAGCGGGCAAGTAGGGAGTGCCTGCTGCTGCCAGACTGTGTGCTGACGAGCCTCTGACCTCGCAGGTTATGCTCCAGTTAGAAAAGAAACTCTTCGACTACTTCAACCAAGAGGTTTTCCGAGACAACAATGGCACTGCGGTGAGTTGTGTTGCCCCAGCAGTTCTCTCATGGGCAGCCTCTGCCTCCCTGGGACCACTCTTTCTTGACCCCCACCTTCAGTGCCACATAGCCTCTCCCAGAACAGCTTGTGGGTGCGTCCTGCCTCCTGGCTGGGCTGAGCTGTGGCTCCAGCATCCCTGTCCCATCCGTGGGTGTGTGATGCTCCCCGGATCCATCAGCCTTGAGACCTTTATGTGTGTGAGACACGGGGTGCTTGGGGTTGGGGTCCTCTCTGGGTCCTTCTCTTTCCAGAGACGAGGGCTTATCTCTGAGTGGAGAAAAACCCCTGTGCATGGGGATGAGCGTATGCAGGCTCCTTGCACCCTGTTGCTGTGTGCACGGCAGATGTGCATGCATGCTTGTGAGTATGTGTGCATGTCCTATGTGAATGTACAAGCATGTGACTGCACATGCATGTGTGTGCATAGGCGGTGGGTGTGTGCGTGAGACCTGTGGAAGTGGGAATGGGCGGCTCAAGATCACATGTGGGCACACGTGGTGCTGGGACGGCTGGGACAGAGCAACCATGCAGACACCCAGCCAAGCCAGCCTCTCAGAGCCTGGGAAGTGCAGGGTGGGAAGACAAGGAAGGGTCTCCTGGAAAGTGCCGAGGCATCCAGGGGGACAGAATGTTCTGGAAGGAGCGAAGAGCTAGGCAAGGAGGAGGCTCCAGTGGCCAAGGGAGAAACACAGGACTGAGCCCGACAGTGCCTTGGGGCTGGAAGCTGCACACTCTGGAGACATCCTGGGAGTTACTGTCCTAAGTGGGCCCTGAAGCCCTTGGCTTCCTCCCGGCATTTAGACAGATCATGCTCTTGCCAATGGAAGTAAGGACTTTGATATCAGAAGCAGAGCTCTCCCGGCTTCATGGGAGGCATCTCATATCTTCTCAAGATAGAATAAACTAGTATGAATGTTCAGAAGAACTTTGGATTTGATTCTCTAGTGGAAAAATGCAGGGGGCTGAAGTAAACAACTGAGTTGCTTAATTAGGGAAGACCACGTCCCAGTTTGTGGCGCCACATCAGGAGTCTAACAGGGACAGGCAGTGGGGTTGCCAAGGTGGCTGGGGCTCAGGGTACCCTGTGCCCTCACAGGCTCCTTGTGCAGTTTCTCCCAAGAGCTGGATGTGGCAGAGCTGTCCTGCTGGGTAGCACCAGAGACAACAGTGCCCTCCGACGTGCTTTCACCTGTGTGCCTGCCCAGGGTACACACACAGGAGAGTTGACTGGGAGGTCGCCCGTGCCTGGAGACAGGGCGTTGTCCCCGTCGGGGGAGGGCCAAGATAGATAGCCAAGTAGACCGTCCGTGCAAGTGGGCCGTCCGTGATAGTCTCATCTTCGTGATCTGGTTAAACACGCACCACGGCCTCCCCAGGATGGATGCGCCTGCGCCACACTCAGCCCCAAAATCCATCGCATCTTTCATCAGCCACTGGTCTTGTACTCGTCTGACAGAAATTTAATTCAAGCTGGCTCCTGAAAATAATTATTGTATTTTAAGAGTAGTAATCATTGGCCGGGACATGATTGAATGTGTCCATGCCTATTGACTTTTTCTATGATTTATAGCTTTGTTTAGTCGATATTCCCATCGAAATTGTATAATTAATTATAAGTGTGGCTGTCAGGACTGCAGGATGGAGTGCCCTGGTGAGGATTTGGAGAGATTAAATTTTCCTCGGCTGTCCCAGGGCAGGGCTGGGGAATCTCTGCGGCGCCCGGCCTCTCGGAGAGAGATGTTTGCTGTGTTTAGCAGCCGCTCTCGCCCTGGGTGCATTGATTTTCTGGGCTCTTTTCCTTTATCAGCGCCGTGTCTCTGAAGAAACGGAGGACCCTGCTGCGGGGACAGCTCCTGACAGATGCGCGATCGCCTGGCCCTTTGTCATTGTCCACACACAGCCCTGCCTGTTTTTCACTCTGTAATCAAGAAGAATGTGTAAGATGCATGTGAAATTGGTCGTCATATTTGTGAGAAATCTCAGAGAGATACAAATTATCAATGCAACAGAAATGCCACTAATTCCAAGTCAGAAGCCTCTCACGTCAGGAGTTTGTTCCAGCAGCAACCATGTCTTTACCACATATCATCCGTGTACACATGGCTGGTGAGCGGCAGTACTAGGCCCTGGGAGCCACATCTCCACAGCTGGCCACACCGGGTGAGGGTCCCATAGGCCTGTCAGAGCCTGCTTGGCCCCAGCATGGCTCTTTATCCGACCCCTGGGCTGTTGTGCTGCCCTCTGCCTCCCTTTAGGCCTGAGGCCCAGGAGGGCAAAGCCTGTGTCTGGTTTTGTCCATGGCCGAGGCTGGAGAGTCCAGATGGCCTCGGCATTCAGGGAAGCCTGATGAGCTAAGCAAGCAGCGACATTCACAGCCAGGGCAGCTCTGTGCAGGGACGAGCAAGTGAGTGGACAGCACAAGACTTTGGTCAGCCCCAAGATGGGCTGATGTGAGTACATGTGGTGGGGCTAAGCACACACAGCCTGGGGTGTGATCCACTGGGCGGGCACAATGCCACAGCCAGCCAGGACAGCGGTGGACCAGAGTCATTCATGGCAGGAAGGCATGAGCCCACCATGCCAAACACCTCACCCAGGTGCCTGTTGGAGTGCACATGTGAGTCTGCGTTGCGCTTCAAGGTTTTCTTTTTTTAGTTAGAATGTGGAGACAGGCCCTGGCCGCTGCAGGGTGGGAGGCAGCTGGCCAGGCTCCATAGGTCTCCATAGGTTTCCGTGAGGCCGATTACAACCAGGACTATTCAGGGAGTTTCAAGAAAGCCTCTCCCAAATTCAGGCACACGTGAGCCCAGGGTGCCATCCACATTCTGTGCATGTAGTGGTACACACATCTCACATGTGTACACACATGTGCCCACAGCAAAGAGGAGTGGATCCCCTAGAAGGTGTCCCCAGAGCTGGTCGTGGGGACCTCCACACTGACAGCGGTCTCACCATTTGATGGTGGGATGTTCAGCACAGAAGTAAAGGTGACTTTATAATCCTCGGCCCTTTCAGAAATGTAAAAGCAAAACAAATACGTGTGTGTGTGTGTGTGTGTGTGTGCGCGCGCACATGCATGCATGTATGTGTGCAGCCGCATGTCACATCGTGACATTCTGGTTGACAGCAGACCATATATATGATGCTGGTCCCAACAGCTTATAATGGAGCAGAAAATCCCTGGTGTGGATCCGTCTTGGTGTTAAACACAAGGCACTGCTCATGGGTGTGGGACGCTGAGGGGAATGCCCTGTGCCTGTCCTGTGACAGCATCACACATGTCACAACATGACACTTGACAGCAAAAGATAGTGTTACTGGCTTACATATCCCTAGACCAGTGGTTCTCAACCTTCCTAATGCCGTGGGCCTTTAATACAGTCCCCGTAAAGGTTGAGAACCACTGCCCTAGACTATACTTTTATCATTAGTTTAGAGTGTATTCCTTCTACTTAATTAAAAATAAAGTTAACTGTAACAGCCCAGGCAGGCCCTTCAGGAAGTCTGCAGAGGAGGCCCTACTCCCCAGGAGGGGTGGCCCTGTCTTCTAGGCCCTGAGGCCCTGCCTGTGGGATAGGACATGGACGCGAAGACAGTGACGGTGATGGCTGTGACCCTGCACTAGGCCAATGTGTGTGGATATGTCTTAGTTTTTGATGAAGAAGTTCTTAAAAAATAATACATTTTAAAAGTAGAAAAAGATTTTAGAATAAGGATATAAAGAAAAAAATATGTTGTGTAGCTGGGCATGTGTTTGTGTTTTAAACTAAGTGCCCTTACAAAAGAGACCCAAAGTTACAAATATTAAAGTTTATTAAGTAAAAAGTTACGGTAAGCTATGGTTAATTTGTTGTTGAAGAAGGGCAAGGGCCTTGGTTTCCTCCCATGGATCCTCCTTCACCACCTCTGGCGGGGTGGCCGAGGTGCCTGTCTGTGTCGGCCACGGCTGCCTCGTGAGGCCCTGCCTTCTCCTGCAAGGTTGGCCACGGCTGCCTTGTGAGGCCCTGCCTTCTGTGGCCCAGCAGATGGAAGGAGGAGGGTGCTCATGGTTTCCTGGCTGTGAGCAGCCTATACCTCCTGGATGGTCCTTTGTCCAGTGACTTCTTTCTTCTTCACATAGGGTCTGGCTCTGTTGCCCACTGGAGTGCAGTGGCATCACTGCCGCTCACTGAGGCCTCTAACTCCTGGACCCAAGCAATCCTCTTGTCTTGGCCTCCCAAAGTACTGGGACCACCAATGCGAGCCACTGCACCCAGCCCCAGTGTCTTCTTAAGGGGAGTTTGGGGAGAAGCCCAGTGTCTGGCCCACTTCCAGCAGGCTGCAGTAACTCATTTAGGGAGGAGGGTCTTTGAGGACACAGTGGGGCACCTTCACTCTCAGTGTGGAGAAAAGAGCCCATTTTCAGGAAAGAGATCTGGCATCTAGTTGTCATTTCTCATTTCCAGGGGAAATTTCAGAAGTAGTGTTTGTATCTGTATAGAATAAGGTGCTAGCACAGTCAGAAAAAAACTAGATAAAGCTCTTTAGATTCTTAGACTGAAATGTACTGAAGACCGTTGGGCCCTGTGCTCTGTCTGACTTGACCTCCATTCCCTGGGCAGACAGGGCCCTGAGCCTGCTGGGCCTGGCATTTCAGGGTTCTGAACTTCCACTGGAGTTTCATCAGGGCAATAACTTGATGTGAGAAAGAAAATGCTGGATCCTCTGGAAGCCACATTGGGAATACAGAACCATATTGCTGCTGAGCTCACTTGTACCTGCCCTGAGCCAGGCCCTGCTATGGGTGAACCACATGGACGGCGCCCCCACCGTGGAGCTCCTGGGCTGTTGGGCAGATGACCAGGCTGTGGAGCAACAGGGTGGGGCAGAGGAGAGACCCAGGGGACAGTGTCTACAAAGAAGCTCTGGGCACGGAGGTGCTGGGCTATTAGAGGTCAGCAAGACCTAGGGGCCCAAGAGTGGAAGGAGCCAGGCGGGGGTGATCCTGTTGAGGTAGGAGGCATCGGGTGGAGCAGGGCAGTGGCACAGTCTGACTGAGACTCCCCCGGAAGGTTCTGCCTGGCTGACATGTGCCTGAGAGTCTAGAGCAGGACCAGCCAGGGCAAGACCTGTGGGCTGTGCCAGGGCAGCGCAGGACCAAGGCCTGTGGTGTGAGCTGTCCAGGATCAATCAGTATGGCCTGGGCAGCCCAGGACCAGTGCCTATGGTGTGAGCTGTCCAGGGTCAGTCAGTATGGCCAAGGCAACCTAGGGCCAATGCCTGTGCTATGAGCTGTCCAGGGTCAGTTACTGTGTCCAGGATGGGCACTGAGGCCAGGGTTTCTGCCTGAGCCTTCTGGAGACATAAAGTCTGGATGATGTCCAAAGTTTATAACCTCTTGGAGGGAGATTACACACACAGATACACCGGGACCCACATTTACTATCTCAACTATAAACGTTTTCTCAAATCTTGCAAGATGAACCCTCAAGAATACCAAATAATTTAACAATTGATAAAAATTATAAAATAAGAGTATTTTAAATTATTAAAAACATGAAAATTAGAAATCTAAGTACTATGCTATGAAAAAAAAATCTGACACTAAAAAATAAATCAATCTTATGGGATGAATTAAGCAGCAGAATAGACATAGCTGAAGAAAGAATCAGTGAACTGGACAACAGAGCTGAGGAGTGACCCCAAAGGCAGCACAGAGACGTTTGGCAGAAAGTGAATGGGAGAGGCTGGGGTGCAGCAGCCAGCCAGTCAGAATTCACAGGAGATGAATTTGAAGAGATGATGACTGCGTTTTCCAGAACTGTCAGAGACAAATTCTCAGGAGACACAGTGAATACTGAGCAGGAGGAACGAAAATAAAAATAAAGTCACATGCAGACACATGACAGCAAGGCAGCAGAATATTAAGCATAAAGAGAAGATTTTAAAAGCAACATGAGAAAAATGTTTGGTTGCTCTGCAAGAATGGCTCTCGCGGCAGCTTCCAGAGCAGTCTCATAAGCCAGGAGATGAGGGAGTATTTGCTCAAAGAGCTGAGAGCCACTAATGAGAACTGTGTAAGCAGCCAGCTCACCCTGGACCAAGGGGACGTCGTGCATGCTGCACACGGAGGCTGAGAGGCCCTGCTACAGGTGCTCATCAGGAGCTGGGACCACATTTTCCCAGAGCAGAGCATGGTGAGGAAGCAGCAAGGACATCACAGAGCATCTGCTGACACGCCCAGCAGAAATCTGAGCCAGACACAGGTTCATGGGATTCCTGACAGTGCAAGGTGAGCCCTGCACTGCCTGCCTGTGCTTGAACCCTGTGCTCAAGATGCAAGGGGGTTGCTGTCAGCACTTTGGAAGGATGTCAGTCGGCAGTGGCTCCTCCTCCCTCAACAGCAGCTTGCTTTAGATTCTCCTGCATGGGTCTTTCCAGAAGAGCCTGGCTCCTGATCTCATGTGGCCTGTAGCCGTGGGGCTGGCTGAACACCCTTACTGACCGCCCTTTACTGACTGCAGTGGCCAGAACTGCATCGGCATCAGAGAAGCCAGCAGCCTCCCCGGTACACAACACCACCACCACCCCACTCCTCCCACCGTGTCAGCGCAAGGGCCCTGCCATGGTACCATAGCAGAGCCCACTCTGGGACCTCTTGACATGGGATGATTTATGTGTGATGAGTGTCTGTGGCCTGTTGTGTGTCTCCAGGTGTGTGCACACACATGTGTAAGTGCAGGGTGGTCTGGGGCCCACCTGCATGCTTCACCCTGGGGGCAATTCTCCCCATAGGGGCTTCCACTCCACCCATGGAGGGACTACCCCAGGCTCTTTCCAGAAATGCTTGGCCCTCAGAGTCACTCCTTGAGGTGGAGAGGGAGCCACCTGGTGTCATGGAAACAGGCACCTGCGCCTCCTGACAGGGTCTCCCGTCTGGCCGCTGAGGTGCACTGAGCCACCGGTGCTCCCCCAGCAGGAGTGTGTTCTGAGCACCCCAGGGCCTGGGCTGTGGTAGAGAGCAACCCAGCAGCTGTGTCTGCCATGGCCCCACCTGCAGAGGAGGTGTGGTCATCCCTCCCCTCCCATCATCTGGTTCCCATGCCACTGCTGTAAACAGAGCAACTTCTGATGGACATTCTGGCTGTTCCCATGACCTGAGTCCTGACCTGGTCCCAAGAGACAAGTGCCAGCCAGGTGGGGGACAGCACAGCAGTGGAGAGCGGGCAGGGCCATGGTGCAGGTGGCTTGGGCAGCCGCCTGGCGCACGGGTAATTACTATGTACACGAAGGTGCTAATTGCATGTTTCAGGAATGATGGATGAGGCAGCAGGAAGGAGCGAGGACACAGTGTGGTTGGAGGCAAGCAGCGCAGAGCCTGGCACAGCTGCAGGAGGAGCATCCCACTGGGCGCCACGGTGGCTGCTCAGGGGCAACACCCTCATGAGCTGGTCTCTGGGGAGGCCTGAGGGGGTCTCCTTCCCATGTGGGGACAAGCATTTTTGTGTCCGAGCTGCTGCTAGAATTTCACCTGTGCAAATGCAGGCAGTTTATTCTGACCTTGCACAAGGCTGATGCTGGTCACTCTGGGCTGTGTCCTCCTGCTGAGACATCAAGCCCAGCTCCAAGGAAGAGAGGCAGCCATCTGCTGCAACCCCTGTGGTGGCACCCGGGGCTGCTAGTGCTTCTCTGGGGATCCCCAGCAGCCAGGCTGTACCACATGTGAAGGTCGCTTGGTGAGCAGGCCGCTCAGTGGCGGTCAGTGCAGGTGCTGCTGGCCACAGTACAGGCAGCTGCTCCCAGAGCCCAGCAGCCCCTGCGGGGCCAATGCCCCCATGCACACAGCCCCCGCACATCTCCTGGAGCTACGAGCTTCCCAGATGGACACGGACCAGTAGGTCCCAGTGAGGAAAGCCAAAGTGACTTGATTCTCTTCTTTTCCTTTTCTTTAGCTCTTGGAATTTGACAAAGAGTTGTCTGTCTTTAAGGACAGGCTGTATGAACTGGACATCTCATTCCCACCCAGGTAAGGGACACTGTGCTTGCCAGATGAGCCAGGTAACAGTTCCACCTTCCTCCCTCTCGTGCATCTGCGCACCTGGGCGTGCATCCTGTGTGTGTGTGCGTTGTCTGTGAATGTGTGCATGTGTTTGCGTGTGTGTACATTTGCACCATGTGCCGTGTGTGTCTCTGTGTGTGCACCTCTGCCTGCCTATGTTTGTGGTGTGTGTGCCTGTGTGTCTATGTGTGTCCTGGTGTGCAAACTGCTACCCTGAAGAAAGCTACGAGCTGAGAATAATAAGTAGTTCTGTGATCTTCTTTTTAAAAAAATATTTGTCCTGTATGCAAAACAAGGCCATGTGGGGGTTTGTATACTGGCTGTCCTGGGTGACTGTCCCGGATCTTTCTGGGAGGGAGTGCATATTGGCTGTCCCTCCCTGGGGCAATTGTCACGGATCTTTCTGGGAGTGTGACTGTCACAGATCTTCCTGGGAGTGTTGAGACTTGTCGCAACGCAGTGTCTTGAGGGAGTATTTGGTTCTGTTTGTTTCTCATACACATCATGAGATGTGTGTGCTCTGAGGTTTGTGGAGCCTTGAAATCTCCTGCAGTGATACCAGCTTCCCAGCCTCCAGCCAGCCTAGGGCCTCAGAGAGCAGGAACGTGGCCACAGCTGGCCGGGTCTGGGCCGTGCAGGGTGTCCTGAGGGCTATGCCCTCACCCACTGGCCTCTTGGGCTTGCTGTCCACCTGGGTGAGCACAGGGGCTGCTTCCTGCCCAGGTGTGCATCTGGCTGAGCAGCACACACAGCTCATCCTCAGCACAGAATGGTAGTCGGGGATCCAGAATGTGCTTTCGCCTTTCCGGCTCACTCATGGTGCCTCTGCCATGTGTCAGGCTCCCCACTAGGAGCGTGGCAAGCACTCTTGTCTTCAGACTATGAGGGCTCCTGTCCCCAAGGAGCATCAGCCGCCGCTGGCTGTCACCATCTCTGGCAGCCTCCCTCTGCACCGGGGCTGAGGAGGTGACATCTGGTGGCACTAGCAGGCTCTGTGCACAGTGGCCAGAACCCCTGTGACCCTCCCATGGAGCACACAGGCCACATACAGTATTGCTTGTCACCTTCACAGTGAAGGACAGCCAGGCCTCCAGTGGCACAAAAACCTGTCATTCCCTGGAACTGAGTAGGTTTTCCCAGGAGCATCACTTCCTGCCCCAGCCTGTGGGCATCAGCACCACACTGCACAGTGAGAGAGCCTCATCCCTGCCAGCACAGTGGGTGTGGTGCTGAGCACACAGAAGCTTGGGTGCCTAAGGGCTAGACTGCCTCAGGCATTCAGGCATTTTCCTGTAGTTTAGAAATAACACTAAAGTTCTCCAACATGAACATGGAGATTCCAGACTGAAGAAGCATCAGTTGTCAGGTGCTGGGGTCCAGCTCCAGCTCACACTCAGAAACATGTTGGACTTCCCAGCCTGGGCACAGTGGACATTTGTGACATGAGCCTCAGCTAAAGACTCCTGAGTCTCTGCCCAGCCCTCCACCTGGGACTTACCTGATTCCCCTCCTCCATTTGGTTCCCAGCCCCGACTGGGCTGCCACGTGGGTGTTGGAAACCATTCCAAAGAGTGTCAAAAGCAAAAGTGTGGGCTGGGAGAGAGCAAGGTGGTGGTCAGGGTGGTGGCTCTGTGTTGGCTCCTGCCCACAAGTCCTCCTCTGACTGCCATAAAACAGGTGTCCCAAAATAGCCACAGAATGTGTGCATGAGTGTGTGTGCAGAGTATGTGCACAGGCTGTGACCTGTGTGCCTGGGTCTGTGTGCTTGGGTGCATTCACTCCTGTGTGCATGATGTCAGTGCCTTTGCTGCATGTGTGTGAGCAGGTTATGACTAGGTGTGCACGCATGTGGTTCATGGGTCTGCATGTGTGTGAGCAGGTTATGGACTAGGTATGTGCATGCGTGGTTCATGGGTCTGCATGTGTGTGAGCAGGTTATGACTAGGTGTGCACATGTGGTTCATGGGTCTGTATGTGTGTGAGCAGGTTATGGACTAGGTGTGTGAGTGTGTGGTTCATGGGTCTGCATGTATGTGAGCAGGTCATGGACTAGGTGTGTG